TTGGGATCTGGTGAAAATTTGGGGAATTTTGTAGGATAAAGTTGAATTTAATTTAGGCTCCGATGATAATTTGGGGAATTTTGTGGGATCCTGGTGAATCCTTTTAGGATCCACTGATAATTCCAGGAATTTTGTGGGATCCTGGTGAATCCAGTTTGGGATCTGGTGAAAATTTGGGAAATTTTGTAGGATCAAGTTGGATTCTCTTTAGGATCCGATGATAATTTGGGGAATTTTGTGGGATCCTGGTGAATCCAGTTTAGGATCCACTGAAAATTCCAGGATTTTTTTAGGTCAATGATGAATCCCTGTAGGATCTGATGAACATTTGGGGAATTCTGTGGGATCCTGGTGGATCCAGTTTGGGATCTGGTGAGAATTTTGGGAATTTTGTAGGATGAAGTTGAATCTTCTTTAGGATCCGATGGTAATTCTGGGAATTCTGTGGGATCCTGATGAATCCAGTTTAGGATCCACTAAAAATTCCAGGAATTTTTGAGGATAATGGCGAATCCGTGTAGGATCTGATGATGATTCCAGGAATTTTATGGGATCCTGGTGGATCCAGGTTGGGATCCGGTGAAAATTTTGGGAATTTTGTGGGATCAAGTTGAATTTTATTTAGGATCTGATGATAATTCTGGGAATTTTGTGGGATCCTGGTGAATCCTTTTAGGATCCACTGAAAATTTTGGGAATTCTGTGGGATCCTGGTGAATCCAGTTTGGGATCTGGTGAAAATTTGGGAAATTTTGTAGGATCAAGTTGGATTCTCTTTAGGATCCGATGATAATTTGGGGAATTTTGTGGGATCCTGGTGAATCCAGTTTAGGATCCACTGAAAATTCCAGGATTTTTTTAGGTCAATGATGAATCCCTGTAGGATCTGACGAAAATTTGGGGAATTCTGTGGGATCCTGGTGGATCCAGTTTGGGATCTGGTGAGAATTTTGGGAATTTTGTAGGATGAAGTTGAATCTTCTTTAGGATCCGATGGTAATTCTGGGAATTTTGTGGGATCCTGGTGAATCCTTCTAGGATCCACTGAAAATTCCAGGAATTTTGTGGGATCCTGGTGAATCCAGTTTGGGATGTGATGAAAATTTTGGGAATTTTGTAGGATGAAGGTGAATTTTATTTAGGCTCCGATGATAATTCCGGGAATTTTGTGGGATCTTGGCCAATCTTTGTAGGATCTATTGAAAATTCCAGGAATTCTGTGGGATCCTGGCAAATCCTGTTTGGGATCTGGTGAAAATTCTGGGAATTTTGTAGGATAAAGTTGAATTTTATTTTGGATCTCGTGATAATTCTGGGAATTTTGTGGGATCATGGTGAATTCTTTTAGGATCTAATGAAAATTCTTGGAAATTTTGTAGGAAAAAGGTGAATTTTATTTAAGATCCAATGATAACTTTGGGAATTTTGTAGGATCCTGCTGAATCCAGTTTAGGATCCACTAAAAATTCCAGGAATTTTTTAGGTTAATGGCGAATCCGTGTAGGATCTGATGAAAATTTGGGGAATTTTGTAGGATAATGGTGGATCCAGTTTGGGATCTGGTGAGAATTTTGAGAATTTTGTAGGATAAAGTTGGATTTTTTTTTAGGCTCTGATGATAATTCCGGGAATTTTGTAGGATCCTGGTGAATCCTTTTGGGATCTGATCAGAATTTTGGGAATTCTGTAGGATCCTGGTGAGCCCAGTTAGGATCCAGTGATAATTTTGGGAGCTTTGTAGGACAATGATGAATCCTTGTAGGATCTGGTGGTAATTTTGGGAATTCTGTGGGATAACGGTGAATCCTTTTGGGATCTGATTGGAATTTCAGGAGTTTTATGGGATATTGGTGAATCCTTGTAGGATCTGGTGATAATTCTGGGAATCTTGTAGGATAATGATGAATCCTTGTAGGATCCAGTGAGAATTTTGGGAATTTTGTAGGATCCTGGTGAATCTTGTTGGGATCCAGTTGCAATTATGGGAATTTTGTAGGATCCTGGTGAATCCTTTTGGGATCTGATGACAATTTCAGGACTTATGTAGGATAATGACGAATCCTTGTACGACCCCCTGATGAGTCCTGGAACCTTCCATGACCCCGATGAATCCGTAGGAATTCAGTGACAGCTCCTGCCTCTTCCCAAACTTTTTTCCACGTAATCCCGACTCTTTTCCCATCGAATTTCTCAAAATTTCCCAATTTTTTTCCACCTTTTCCATCTTTCCCAGAGGTTCAGTTCCGCCCGTACCGCACGGACGACTTCATCACGCGCCTGTGCTGCGAGACGCCGCGCCTGGGATGGGCTGGGAGGGACTGGGATGGGACTGGGAGGGACTGGGATGGACTGGGATGGGACTGGGATGGACTGGGATGGACTGGGATGGGACTGGGATGGACTGGGATGGACTGGGATGAACTGGGAATGGACTGGGATGGACTGGGATGGGCTGGGATGGACTGGGATGGACTGGGATGGGACTGGGATGGACTGGGATGGGACTGGGATGGACTGGGATGGGCTGGGATGGACTGGGACCACACTGGGATGGACTGGGATGGACTGGGATGGGACTGGGATGGACTGGGATGGGATGGGACTGGGAGGGACTGGGACGGACTGGGATGGGACTGGGATGGACTGGGATGGACTGGGACCACACTGGGATGGACTGGGATGGACTGGGATGGGACTGGGATGGACTGGGATGGGACTGGGATGGACTGGGATGGGATGGGACTGGGAGGGACTGGGACGGACTGGGATGGGACTGGGATGGACTGGGATGGACTGGGAAGGGACTGGGATGGACTGGGATGGACTGAGATGGACTGGGATGGGACTGGGATGGACTGGGATGGGACTGAGATGGACTGGGATGGGCTGGGATGGACTGGGATGGACTGGGAAGGGACTGGGATGGACTGAGATGGACTGGGATGGACTGGGATGGGACTGGGATGGACTGGGATGGACTGAGATGGACTGGGAAGGGACTGGGATGGGACTGAGATGGACTGGGATGGGACTGAGATGGACTGGGATGGACTGGGATGGACTGAGATGGACTGGGATGGACTGGGATGGACTGGGAATTCTTTAGGAAAATGGTGAACCCTGTTAGGATCTGATGATGATTCTGGAGTTTTGTAGGATCCTGGTGAATCCTTGTGGGATCTGGTGATGATTTTGGGAATTTCGGAGGATAATGATGAATCCCATTAGGGCCCAATGATAGTTTTGGAAATTTTGTACGATAATGGTGAATCCGTTGATAATTTTGGGAATTTTGTGGGATAATGATGAACCTCGTTAGAATCTATTGATAATTTGAGGAATTTTGCGAGATGGAAGTCAATTCTTGTAGGACCTGGTGATGACTCCTGGAACTTTCCAAGACCCTGATGAATCTGTAAAAATTCAATGACAATTTCTGCCTTTTCCCAACCTTTTTCCCATCTAATCCCAATTTTTTTGGACTTTTTTTCGTTTCCCAGAGGTTCAGTTCCGCCCGTACCGCACGGACGACTTCATCACGCGCCTGTGCTACGAGACGCCGCGCCTGACGGTGCTCAACCAGACGTGGGGTGGACTGGGATGGACTGGGATGGATTGGGAATTCTGTGGGATAATGGTGAACCCTGCTAGGATCCTGTGATTTTTGTAGGGTCCTGGTGCATCCTTATGGAATCCATGGTGAATCCTATTTACGACCTGGTAATAATTTTGGGAATTCTGTAGGATCCTGGAGAATCCTTTTGAGAGCCAGTGATAGTTTGGGGAATTTTGGAGGACAATGGTGAGTCCTTGTAGGATCTGATGGTGCCTCCTGAAACCTTTTAAGATCCCGATGAATCCATAGGAATTCAGCGACAGCTCTTGCCTTGTCCCAATGTTATTCCCAACCCTTTTCCCGTCTAATCCCAATTTTTTTTTGACTTTTTTTTCGTTTCCCAGAGGTTCAGTTCCGCCCGTACCGCACGGACGACTTCATCACGCGCCTGTGCTATGAGACGCCGCGCCTGACGGTGCTCAACCAGACGTGGGGTGGACTGGGATGGGCTGGGATGGATTGGGATGGACTGGGGTGGACTGGGATGGACTGGACATTCTTTAGGAAAATGGTGAACCCTGTTAGGATCTGATGATGATTCCAGGGTTTTTGTAGGATCCTTGTGAATTCTCGTGGGATGCGACGCCAATTCCAGCAATTATTTGCAGGGTCCTGGTGAATCCTGATGGGATCCATGGTGAATCCTATGTAGGACCTGATGAGAATTGCAGGAATTTTGTAGGATCCTGGTGAACCCTGTTGGAACCCATTGATAATTTGAGGAATTTTGCGAGATGGAAGTCAATTCTTGTAGAACCTGGTGATGACTCCTGGAACCTTCCAAGACCCCGATGAATCCATAGAAATTCAGTGACACCTCCTGCCTTATCCCAACGTTATTCCCAACCCTTTTCCCATCTAATCCCAATTTTTTTGGACTTTTTTTCGTTTCCCAGAGGTTCAGTTCCGCCCGTACCGCACGGGCGACTTCATCACGCGCCTGTGCTACGAGACGCCGCGCCTGACGGTGCTCAACCAGACGTGGGGTGGACTGGGATGGGCTGGGATGGACTGGGATTTCTGTAGGAATATGGTGAACCCTGGTAGGATCTGATGATGATTCCAGGGTTTTTGTAGGATCCTGGTGAATCCTTTCGGGGTCTGATGAGAATTTTGTGAGTTTTGTAGCATCCTGGTGAATTCTTTTAGGGTCTGATGAGATTTTTCGGAATTAGGTAGGATCCAGGTGAATCCAGTTAGGATCTGGTGATAATTTGTGGAATTTTGTAGGATCCTGGTGAATCCTTCTAGGACCTGGTGATGACTCCTGGAACCTTCTAAGACCCCAATGAATCCGTAAAAATTCAATGACAATTCCTGCCTTTTCCCAACCCTTTTCCCATCTAATCCCAGTTTTTTTGGACTTTTTTTCTTCATTTCCCAGAGGTTCAGTTCCGCCCGTACCGCACGGACGACTTCATCACGCGCCTGTACTACGAGACGCCGCGCCTGACGGTGCTCAACCAGACGTGGGTGCTGAAGGCGCGCGTCAACGACTCGGAGCGCAACCCCAACCTGTCGTGCAAGCGCACGCTGAGCTTCCAGCTGATCCTCAAGAGCAAGGTCAACTCGCCCATGGAGTGCTCCTTCCTGCTCCTCGAGGGGCCCTACGACGACGTCAAGATCAACCCGGTCATCTACCACTTCGTCTTCAGCAACGAGAGCAACGAGACCGACTACATGGCGCTGCCCATCGTCGACTCGGTGGAGTGCAACAAACTGCTGGCGGCCAAGAACATCAACCTGCGGCTTTTTATATTCCAGATCCAAAAATAAAACGTGACTTTTTTTCCCGGGGGGGGGGGGTTTTGTTTGGGGGAGGGCGGGGAGGGAAGGGAGGAGGAGGAGTTTTAGCGATGGCGGCGGTGTCGGCGGCGTTGTTGGACGCGGCGGGGAGGTGGTGGAAGCATTAAAAAGCGGAGTTGAAGTGGTCGAGAATGGGTTGGAAGAGAGAAAAAAACGGTGGGGAAGCGGCGAAAAATGGGTTGGAAGCGATGAAAGTTGGTGGGGAGCGAATGGGATTCACTTGGAAGCATCAAAAATGGGTTGGAAGCGACAAAAGTTGGTGGTGAGCGAATGGAGTTTCCTTGGAACCATCAAAAATGGGTCGGAAGAGAGAAAAAATGGTGGGGAAGTGGCGAAAAGTTGGTGGGGAGCGAATGGAGTTGGCGTGGAACCATCAAAAACTGGGTTGGAATTGGTAAAAATGGGTTGGAAATGACAAAAATGTGTTAGAAGAGAGAAAAATTGGTGGGAAAGTGAGAAAAGTTGGTGGCGAGCGAATGGAATTGGCTTGGAGCCATCAAAAATGGGTTGGAAGGGACAAAAATGGGTTAAAAGGGACAAAAATGGGTTGGAAGACACAAGAATTGGATGGAAAAAACAGAAGTTGGGGGTGAGCGAATGAAATTGCCTTGGAACCATCAAAAATGGGTGGAAAGTGACAAAAAGGGGTTGGAAGCACCAAAAATTGGTGGTAAGGAAATCAGATTACCTTGGAACCGTCAAAAAATGAGTTGGAAGAGACAAAAATTGGTTTAAAGTGGCAAAAGTTGGTGGTGAGCAAGTAGATTTAGCTATGAACCATCAAAAATGGGTTGGAAGTGACAAAAATGGGTTGGAAAAAAGAAAAAATGGGTTGGAAGGGACAAAACTGGGTTGGAAGAGACAAAACTTGGTGGTGAATGACTGGAATTGGCATGGAACCATCAAAAATGGGTTTGAGGGGGTGAAAATGGGTTGGAAAAAAGAAAAAATGGGTTGGAAGTGACAAAAGTTGGTGGTGAGCGAATGAAATTGCCTTGGAACCATCAAAAATTGGTCAGAGAGTGACAAAAGTTGGTTGGAAGAGAGAAAAGTTGGTGAGAAAGTGACAAAAGTTGGTGGTGAGTGAGTGGAGTTGGCTTGGAACCATCAAAAATGGGTTGGAACCATCAAAAATGGGAGGGAACCATCAAAGATAGGTTGGAACCATCAAAAATGGGTTGGAAATGACAAAAATGGCTCGGAAGAGACAAAAGTTGGTGTTGAGCCAATGGAGTTGCCTTGGAACCATCAAAAACCAGGTTGGAAGTGGCAAAAATGGGTTGGAATTGGTGAAAATGGGTTGGAAGAGACAAAAATGCGATGGAAGAGAGAAAAATTGGTGGGAAAGTGACAAAAGTTGAGGGAGAGTGAATGGCATTGGATTGGAACCATCAAGAATGGTTTGAGAGTGACAAAAACGGGTTGGAAGTGACAAAAATGGGTTGAGAGTGACAAAAATGGGTTGGAAGTGACAAAAACGGGTTGGAAGTGACAAAAATGGGTGGGAAAGGCACGAAAATTGGTGTTGAACCAATGGAATTGGCTTGGGACCATCAAAAATGGGCTGGGATCGGTGAAAATGGATTGAAGAAGACAAAAGTTGGTGGTGAGCGAATGAAATCGCGTTGAAGCCGTCAAAAATGGGTTGGAAGAGACAAAAGTTGGTGGTGAGCGAATGCAATTCACTTGGAACCATCAAAAATGGGTTGGAAGTGATGAAAATGGGTTGGAAAAGACCAAAGTTGGTGGCAAAGCGACAAGAGTTGGTGGTGAGTGAAAGGGATTGGCTCAAAACATCAAAAACGGGTTGGAAGAGACAAAAGTTGGTGAGAAATTGAGAAAAGTTGGCGATGAACAAATGGAATCGGCTTCGAACATCAAAAAATGGGTTGAGAGCACCAAAAGTTGGTGGTGAGTGAGTGGAATTGCCTTGGAACCATCAAAACTGGGTTGGAATTGGTAAAAATGGGTTGGAAAATGTGAAAGTTGGTGGGAAAGCGCTAAAAGTTGGTGGTGAGCGAATGGAATTGGCTTGGAACCATCAAAAATGGGTTCGAGAGTGACAAAAACGGGTTGGAAGTGACAAAAACTGGTGGAAAACCAATCAAAATGGTTTGAGACCACCAAAAATGGCTTGAAGCCACCAAAACATGGGCGACACTTGACAGAAAATTTTGAAATAGTCCAAAAATGGGTGAAACTGTTAAAAATTTGTCAGAACCCAAGAGGAAGGTTTTGAAATTATCAAAAAAATGAGTGAAACCATCAGGACTCGGTCGAAACACTACAGAAAGGTCTTGAAACCACCAAAAATTGATGTAAATTGAACAGAAAGGTCTTGAAACATCAAAAATTGGTTGAAACCACCAAAAATTGTTTGAGACCATCAAGAAATGGTGAAAAGTCAACAGAGAGGTCTTGAAACCATCAAAAATGGACTTAAACTGACCAAAAATGGCTTGAAATGCCAAAAATTGGTATAAATCCAACAGAAAGGTCTTGAAGCCACCCAAAATGGTTTAAAACCATCAAAAATTGGTCAAAACTCGATGGAAGGGTCTTGAAACCATCGAACATTGATTGAAACCGCCAAAAATGGTTTGAAATCATCCAAAATGGTCAAAACTCAATGGAATAGCCTTGAAACCGTCAAAAATTGATTTAAACCATCAAGAAATAGTAAAAACTCAACAGAAAGGTCTTGAAACCATCAAAAGTTGGTTTGAAATCACCACAATTGGCCTAAACCCACCAAAAATGGCTTGAAAATACCAAAAATTGGTGGAAAACCAACAGAAAGGTCTTGGAACCGCCAGAATTTGGTCCAAACCCAACGTAAAAGTCTTGAAACCACCAAAAATTGGTTTGAAACCACCGAAATTTGGTCTGAACCCAACAGAAAAGTCTTGAAACATCAAGAATTGACCGAAACCCACCAAAGATAGTTTGAAACCACCAAAATTTGGTCTGAACCCACCAAAATTGGCTTGAAACCACCAAAAATTGGTGTAAACCCAACGACAAGGTCTTGAAACCATCAAAAATTGGCCTAAAAGCACAAAAACCCCCAGAATTTCTTCTAAACCCAATGGCCAGGTCTTAAAATCCTCAAAAAATGTGTTTAGAAATGACCAAACTTTGGTTAAAAGCCAACAGAAGGGTCTTGAAACCATCAAAAATTGGTCTAAACCCGCCAAAGTTGGTTGAAACCTTCAAAATTTGGTCAGAACTCAATGGAAGGGTCTTGAAACCATCAAAAATTGGTTTGAAAACACCAAAATTTCTTCCAAACCCAACAGAAAGGTCTTGAAACGGTCAGAAATTGAACTAAACCCACCAAAAATGGTTTGAAACCATTAAAAATGGTCAAAACTCAATGGAAAGGTCTTGAAACCACCAAAATTTTGTCTCAACCCACCAGAAAAGTCTTGAAATGTCAAAAATCGATCTAAACCGACCAAAATTGGCTTGATAATGTCCGAAATTGGTGTAAACCCAATGGAAAAGTCTTCAAACATCAAAAAATCATCCTAATATCATGAAAATTGGCTTGGAACCATCAAAAGTTCTTCCAAAGCAAACGGACAGGTCTGAAAACCATTGAAAGTTGGTTCGAAACCCTTCAAAATTGGTCAAAACCCCACAGAAAGGTCTTGAAACATCCAAAATTGTCCTAAACTCAACAAAATTTGCTTTAAACCACCAAAAATGGCTTTAAAATGCCAATAATTGGTGTAAACTCAACAGAGAGGTCTTGAAGTCGTCAAAAATTGGTTGGAACCCACCAAAATTTGGTCCAAATCCAACAGAAAGGTCTTGAAACCACCAAAAATGGTTTAAAGCCGTCAAAAATTGGCCAAAACTCAATGGAAGGGTCTTGAAACCATCAAACATTGGTCATAACCACCCAAAATGGTTTGAAAGCACAAAAAAAAAGGTGAAAACCCAACAGATAAATCTTGAAACCACCAAAAATTGACTTAAACCCACCAAAAAATGGTTTTAAACCATCAAAAAATGTCAAAACTCAACGGAGAGATCTTGAAAGCATCAAAAATTGCTTGAAACCAGCAAGAAATGGTGAAAACTCCACAGAAAGGTGTTGAAACCATCAAAACCTGACCTAAGATGACCAAAAAATGGTTTAAAAATACCAAAATTTTGTCCAAAACCAATGGAAAGATCTTGAAACCATCAAAAATTGGTCGAAACCGCCACAAATGGTTTGAAACCATCAAGAAATGGTCAAAGTTCAATGCAAGGGTCTTGAAACCATCGAAAGTTGACCTAAAGCCACCAAAAATGGTTTGAAACCACCAAAAATTGGTCTAAAACCAACAGGAAGGTCTTGAAAGCATCAAAATTTGTCCTTAAACCACCAAAATGGTTCTAAACCCACCAAAAATTGGCTTTGAAATGCCAAGAATTGGAAACCCAATGGAAAGGTCTTGGAACCACCAAAAATTGCTCTGAAGCCATCAGAAGTGGTTTGAAACCACCAAAATTTGGTCCAAACTCAACAGAAAGGTCCTGAAACCACCAAAAATTGGTGTAAACCCAACGGGCAGGTCTTGAAACCATCAAAAATGGTTTGAAGCCATCAAAAATTGGTCAAAAGTCAGTGGAAGGGTCTTGAAACCATCAAAAACTGAGCTAAACCCACCAAAAATGCTTTGAAATCACCAAAATTTAGTCAAAAAACAACAGGAAGTTCTTGAAACCACCAAAAATTGGTGTGAACCCAACAGAAAGGTCTTGAAACCACCAAAAATTGGTTTGAAACCACCAAAAGTGGTTAAACGCCATCAAAATGCGGTCAAAACCCACCAGAAATGGTTTGAAGCCACCAAAATTTGGTCCAAACCCATCAGAAAGGTCTTGAAACCATCGAAAATTGACCTAAACCCACCAAAAATGGTTCGAAGCCACCAAAAATGACTGCAAAATGCCAAAAATTGGTGCGAACCAAACGGAAAGGT